TGCATCCACACAGTCAGTGTCACTATTGCATTATGACTTTACTCATCTTTAATAAAATGCATCAGAGTACATGCCGAGACTGTCATGAGTTTTCTAATAAAAAAAAAAAAAAATGTACTGTATCTTGTTTCAAGAATGTATAGATATTTATACTGGAAAACGAGACAGAAACACTGAGGAAAGAAAAACATGTTTTGCAGTGATTCAAAAAAAAAAAAAAATCTACATAAATATATAAGTGAGTAAAAAAAAAAAAATTTGTTTAATGATTAGAATATTTTTTTTGCAGTTTAATAATATTATTATTATTATAACCTTTATTTTATCAGGAAAAGAAGCAGATTGAGATTAAGAAGCGTCCTGGCCTAGACTGACAGACACAGCTTGTTTGAGTTTAACAAATAACATCCATCAATACACACACATACACACACAATCAGTTTGAATATCAATACATAACTAGTTAAAACCTCTACACCCCGATGTTTCATTCTCCAAATCGTTTAAAACTACTTTAAAAGGGCTTAATGAAACCAGCTCCCTCAGTTTCAGTACTTTATTATTCCAGGCGAAGGGAGCATCAAATTTAAATGCCTTTTTCCCGAATTCGGTGCGTACGACTGGAACAGACAGTAAGAATAATTCCTGTAGGCTATAGCTACAAACATACTTTATTATTATAATAATATAATTGAAGCACATACTATTCTCAGAACTCATGTTTTGTTGTGACGCTGCATCCACACAGTGTCAGTATCGCATTATGACTTTACTCATCGTTAATTAAATGCATCAGAGCTTCACATATAAACATGAATATTGTTGTGATGCATCATCCCGAGACTGAGAGAGTTCTCCTCGTGTGTTTCAGGATGGCAGTCTGCAGTGTCCCACCTGTAAGGCCATCTACGGGGAGAAGACCGGCACACAGCCTCCTGGGAAGATGGAGTATCACGTCATCCCTCATTCCCTGCCGGGACACTCCGACACCAAGACCATCCGCATCGTCTACGACATTCCTGCGGGAATACAGGTACATCCAGAGAAACACTTCCTTATCAACTCTGCAAAACATGTGTTGTCCTCTTCATTTCTGTCTGGTTTTCCAGCACAAATATCGAAACATTCATAAATCAAGATACTGGAGATGCGAAATGACTGAAGATATTAAGACTGGAAAATGTATCAAAATGAAGTGAGTTTGTGCTTAACCCTCTAGGCGCCACGGTCGAGTTTACTGGACAAGATGCGGCACTGAATTAAACGGCCGATTTTGTCAAATTGGGTGTCAGATTTCGTTCGACCTCCCCTCCACTGGATGGCAGACGTCATACTTCATCCCCGAATAAAAAAAAACGTCATGTTTCTATACAAAATGTTCGAGTTAGAGCGCATTGAATCAGTGGGATCAAAAGCGGAGCTAGTGTGCGAGTGAGCCGTTTTATCAGAGCCTCTCCGCGATCACGGCGACAGTATTGTGGTGGAGACTTTGTTTAATGCCACTGGGTATGTTAGACAAGGTCGAAGTATTCATAGGACAGTTAGGAGGCGAGGTGGAGGCAGGGTGAGGAGTCGCAATGACAATGACAGCAGTCCGAGCTGTGCACACTCGGCGCGGGCGCGCTGCTCGTGTCATCTCACTCATGATCTGTGCGAGTGAGCGTTTGAACTAAACAGGTCTTGTCTACTTGTGTTTGTATGTCATATGAATAATATATATGTGCCCCATACATGGAATCAGAGTGCCTACTGTATTTAGTAAATGGAAAATCTCTACAGCAAAAGGCCAATCACTACATGCATTCGGTTTGTTTCTACCATTTATTAGTAATGATTTACACAGTTTGTTTACTACTTACTATATACCTGAGCATTCAGTATTGTGTAATATAGCATACAGAAGGTGATGGACATTTTGGGGGGAAAGAAGTGCTGCATTTTATCATTTAAACATGTGACTTTTAATCCAAGATTGCCGCCACCATATGACGTCATAGTATGCAAATTCGATGGGAAAATGTAATCCCTACATAAACTTTGGGTCATCCTTAATATTTCTCTAATTTACAGAAAGTCTCTATCTTTTATCACTTTTAAGATATAGCCTTTTGAAATTAAGATGTCAAATTGAACGTTTTAAGGAAAAACCTCTGGCGCCTAAAGGGTTAAAACAAGAACAAACTCGCTTCATTTTGATACATTTTTCATTAAACAAGACTTAATATCTTCAGTTATTTTTGCTTCTCCAGTAAATGTATCTTGATTTATGAATGTTTTGATATTTGTGCTGGAAAACGAGACAGAAACACTGAGGAAGAAAAACATGTTTTGCAGTGATTCAAAAAAAAAAAGAAAGAAGGTGGTTCTAAATATATAGATTAGTGAGTAAAATAAATATATATTTTTAAAGAAAATATTATTATTTTTAGAAATATATTTATAAATAATAATTTTAATAGAATATTTCAAGCTATTTATTAGACAAAAATGTCTTTAAATGTTAATATTAAGATAAATTCATATATTTTTAATGTCTCTATATAAGCCTTCGGAAAAGTGACAGTTTTAAAGTGTAAGATTCTTATTAAAATCATTTTTTAAGTTGATATTTATGTAATAGGAACCTACGTTATTTTAGAGAGAGATTTGATTTGATTTGTTTTGTTTTGGTTTATCATTTTTAGTTTATTATTTTATTTGAACATTCAGGTAAACAGCTTAACTCTGTACAAGATATATAGAAGTGGTTTTATTTTTTGTTTTAATTTTAATTTTTGTAATTTATTTAAATTTTTAGTAAGAGATAGGTATGAAGGTCACGGGGTTGAAGCGCAGTCTAGGGAAACATCTTTTTTAATAATACAATGTCACCTAAAATCTAATAAAGAAAAAACTTGCATTTATTTTTATGTTTTTTGTTTTTATCAAATTGTGCATACAGGTGAAACTCGAAAAATCAGAATAGGTGAAACTAATATATTATATAGACTCATTACATGCAAAGTGAGATATTTCAAGCCTTTATTTGTTATAATTGTGATGATTATGGCAGATATGGCAGATATGAAAACCCCAAATTCAAAATGAAAATTTTGTGAAAAGGTATCATATCTGTAAGCCATAATCATCAAAATTATAACAAATAAAGGCTTGAAATATCTCACTTTGCATGTAATGAGTCTATATAATATATTAGTTTCAGCTTTTAAGTTGAATTAATGAAATAAATGAACTTTTGCACCATATTCTGATTTTTCCAGTTTCACCTGTATTTGCTAATACAGCGAGGACGAGGAGACGATCAGTAGGAACAGGGCGAACAAAAAAGAAATAACAAAACAACAACAATCTAATAACTTTATTGTATTCTGTATGATAAAAAATATGTCTAATACTTACTAAAAGTTGGTGTCAGATATTACAGTAATTATTTACACAAATGGTAATGAGGGACTGGAGCCTTTGTTCTCTGGCCCAGTTTTTGTAGAGAAATGCTTTGCACCAATATTTAATATGTCAAGCTGTTTGTGCAGAATGACCTGTGGGCTTGTGGCTTATGGTCGTGTTTTTGCCATATGTGAGACAGGAAGTGGCTGAGCTCATTTCCTGTTCAATGAGGACAGTAGCAGAACTCTTTATCTCTCCTGTTCTCGTTTGTCACATGATCGGACACCCACTCGCTTTCTGAGCTCCGACGTCACTAGATTAACATGATAAAAAATATTCCATCAATAATATCATCATCATGGCAAGAAATGTATGTTTATGCCGGTGTTATTTGAGTATGATTGAGACTACTGTTCAAAAGTTTGGGGTTGGTAAGATTTTTTAATGTTTTTGAAAGTCTCTTCTGCTCATCAAGCCTGCGTTTATCTGATCAAAAATACAGTAAAAACAGTGAAATATTATTATAATGTAAATCAGATGTTTTCTATGTGAATATCTAGTAAAGTGTAATTTATTCCTGTGATTTTCAGCATCATTACTCCAGTCTTCAGTGTCACATGATCCTTCAGAAATCACTCTAATATGATGATCTGATGCTCAAGAAACATTTATGATTATTATCTATGTTAATATTTTTGTGGAAACTGTGATACATTTTATTTTTTCAGGATTCTTTGATGAGTTCAAAATAACAGCATTTATTTGAAATTGAGTCTTTTGTAACATATAAATATATTTACTGGGAATTTGATCAATTTAATGCATCCTTGATGAATAAAAGTATTCATTTCTTTGAAAAAGCCTTTTGAACAGTAGTGTGTATTTATGTGTATATATATAAATATTAATATTTTCCATTGTAATTGTCTTTTTTTAGTAATTTTGTTGTGTGGGTTTGTTTTTACTATTTATTGTTTTTTAAATGAAAATGAGAAATGTTGATTTGCCGACTAGATAAATTAAAATAAGTTTTTTTCTCCCCCATTTATTTCAGTTCATTTTTATTTTATTTCAAGTTAAAAAAAAGAAGAAGATGGTTTTAGTTTTAACTAACCCTGTTCTATACATTTTCCCTACAATGTTAGGAAAGGATTCTTGCACCGAAACAGATTTACATGATGGTCTCTCGGACTCGGATCATTAAAGTACTTGTGTTACTGTATCTTTAAGACGTGTCGAGTGTTAGCAGGAATGATGTAATAAACACGGTTTAATCACAGCAGAGGTTGTGACTGTTCAAGTATGTCACATCAAACTAATTCAAAAGAGCATGAAAAATCCTTTTCTTCATGTTGCATCTTCATTAATATTCATCTTGGCCACGGCTGTAACTCCTGTAAAGGCATGCGCTGGTGTTTATGAGATGAAGGGATTGAGTGTAATAATAATAATAATGCTTCATTCACTCCAGTAATGCTCCGTATGCCTTTGATCTGCACATGTGAAGCTGTGATGTGATCAGAGAGAGAGTGGTGGCAGCGGGACAGATCCACACACACACACACACACACACACACACACACACACACACTCTCTCTCTCTCTCTCTCTATC